ACCTAATTAGGTCAATAGAGCACCATAGATTGATAGTAGTGGATCGATTGCTTTAGTCGAGGGTTGATTCACTGTTTTGTATCGATTGAGAACCTCTTTCGATAGAGGGAGTCTAGTTCAGAATGCCTTGATCAGTTGTTCTAGAGAAGGATACGTCCCTCTAGGCAATTGACTCAAGAGGGATTTGTTCCTTTAGTCGAGACTCAAGGTCTAGTCAAGGATTCTCCGCATTGTGAATGAAAGTGAAACAAGTTGGAAATCATCAATTGTTTGTCTGGCTAGTGGCTAGGGGGAATCATACCTAAGTGAGTTCCCAACCTGTAATTAGATTAACTTTAACTGTAGTTTGCTAGAGTAGTTTTAGTTCTTTCATCTTAATCTGGTTTGCTAAATAATAAACTGAAGCTGAGTAATAGTAACTCTAGAGACCCGTGGATTCGATATTTATCACTTGAGCCACTATACTGCAGTCCCTTCCATTGGTTACACTTGGCCATTGTTAGGTGTTGTGTTTTAGCGAATCAAGTATAAATAAATTCTCCTCCACGATCTGTACGGAGAGTTTTGATTTGATGGCCACTTTCCTTCTTAGCTACTGCTTGGAATTGAAGGAATTTGGGAAAAGCTTCTGACTTTTGCTCCAGAAAGAATACCCACATCATTTTGGTGAAGTCATCTACAAATAGTAGAAAATATCTTTTACCGCTGAGTGATTGTGTTTGGTTGGACCGCATATGCCTGCATGTACCAACTCCACTGGTCCTTTTACTCTCCAAGATGTCTTTGGAAATGGTAAACGATGCATTTTGCCATATATGCATCCTTCACATATTTTATCTTCTCTGTTGATCTGGGGTAGTCCCACCACCATATTTTTCTGCCTCAATAATTTGAGACCTTTGAAGTTGAGATGACCATATCTGAGATGCCATAGGAAGGATTGATCCAGATTTTCACTCTTGAATGCTACTTCACCATTTTGTGACATAGCAAGAGAGAAAATTCTGTTGGAAGTCCTCGGGACTTTGGCCACCATGAAATTGTTTGCTTTATTGATAATCTCGCATACGCCATTATAAAACAATAGCTTGTAATTTTTAAGCATCAGTTGTCCCACGCTAAGTAGATTGAGAGTTAGCTCCGGAACATGCAAAACATCTCGAATGAGAGTTTTGTTGCCTTCTTCTGTGCATACAACAACTGTGCCTTTTCCTTCCACTTTTAGCTTCTTCCCGTCTCCCAATTTTACTTGAGAGCGGTATTTGTCATCGATGTCGGTGAAGGACTCCAGATCTCCAGTCATGTGGTTACTGAAACCACTATCCACCATCCAGGGAAGCTGAGATTTTTGCTCACCATTCAAGCATGATAAGGCCACCATATTGCTTTCTTCAATTTTGGTGCCGCTTGACTCGCCTTCTTCTTGCTTGTTTTGGAACCAGCAATCTCTCTGGGAGTGGTTTTGAATTCTGCACTTGGTGCACTTGAATCTGCAGTCTTTTGTTGCATGACCCGCCTTTTTGCAACTTATGCAACTCGAGCCGGTGTAGCCCGATCTTTGTTGTTGATAATTTTGTCTGTTGTTTCCTCTGTAATTGGATCTTCCTCTTCCTTGTGAGTTTCCCCCTCTCTGGCCTTGCTCCTATTTGGCATATTTACTTTCCGTCATGTTGACTTTTGACGAGAAAGCTTGCTCCAATGGCGGTTTGGTGAAGCGGCTCATTCTTTGCTCGTGTGCTACAAGTGAGCCCATCAACTCGCTCATTGGTAGATTTGCCAAATCTTTGGTTTCTTCAATGACAGCAACAATATGCTCGAACTTTGATGACAAACTGCAGAGAATTCTCTCCACAATTTTTCATTCTTCCCTGACGTCACCGGTGGCTTTGATCTAGTTGACTGTCTCCGCCACACGCGAATGGAAGTCTTTGATGGTATCGGTTTCCTTCATCATCAAGTTGTCGAACTTGCGCCATAAACTTTGTCGCCTGATGGAGATAGACTTTTCAGAACCTTGACACTGTTTACGCAAGACATCCCAAGCTTCTTTGGCCTTTTTGATGCCATAGATTCTTGGGTAAATAGATTTGCTCACTGCTTGCTGAATGATTCTCAAGGCGTTGGCATTTTGCTTGGCATTCTCCTTGTACTCATTTGTCTGCTTGCATGCTCGTTTCTTCGAGTCTTCATCCTCGTCTTGTGGATCTTCGTAGCCTTCTTGGACGATATCCCACAGATCTTGAGAGATGAAAATTGGCTCCATTTGGGCACTCCAGTACTCGTATAATTCTCCATCGAAAATGGGAATCTGATTAGAGGAGGTATCAAACATGTTGTTTGATGAAGTTGTTGTCATGGCTTTTTTTAGAAGATTTGGGTAGGATAGAAAAATGGGGATTTAAGAGAATAGAAGGGTATTAAGCTCTGATACCAAATTTCTTAAGGATTAGCGGAAATGTGGTATGATTTAGGATCAACACAAAAGAAATATTTGGTGTTTAATCACTCAATTTAGAAAACACACAACCAAACAATGCCTTATACTTTTGGCTATTATATTACATACACTCACACGGCAGAAGCTTTGCTTCTTTCATTTTTTGTTTTGTTTACAAACTCTCTGACACTACTCCTTCTCCCATACTTGCAACATATATATATGATGATAAAGAAAACATAACATTAAATTAACACATGGTTCTCATTCACCCACCAAGCAGAGACATGCATGTGCTTGGAATGGATATGCTTAAACACTAATAAAGAAGAATGTGGCCCATGTATGCATTATTTCCCACTTGCCTTGTCTTCTATCAATCTGCTGTGATGAGGCTTTATAATTGACCAATTATTCATCTATTTATTTCTTCCTTGCAAGTAATGAGATGTTCCTGCAAATGGGTTGTCTCTTGGATGTGATAGTAGTGGGCACAATTTAAGGGTGATAATTGCAAATTACCATTTGACACCCCCTCTTAATTTGCAATATGGAGTAGCTCCTTGAATTTTTCGAATTTCTCATGGGTAACCTCCTTTATCTTGATATCTGCTGGCTGGTCGTCGGTGTTGATAAATTTCATCACGATTAATTCTTCGTTGACGAGGTCTCGAATAAAATGATGACGCAACTCGATATGCTTCGATCTTGCGTGGAATACTGGATTTTTAGTCATGGTTATGGCTGACATATTGTCACAATGAATAATGGTTGGACCATTTTCATTTTGCTGCAAATCAGATATTAATCTTTTTAGTCATACCGCTTCGCACGCTGCATATGTAGCTGCGATATATTCTGCTTCTGCTGAAGATATGACACACCCTAACCCAGCCGGGTACTACTTTTACTAAAATTCCCTTGATAAATAAAATACTCAAATCTTAAATTGCAGCAGGAAATATTTAAATAAATAAAATACTGAAAACACACACTTGTAGTTCAAAGAAAAGCCCTAACACGTGGGCAAATTATGCTTAAACTTTAAAATCTCAATCTGATCTCCAGTCTATACTCACAATCATAAAATGCAAATAACTAGGTAGTCTCTGACGTTGCTGCTACTAAAAATTTTAACGAGGCATCCTCCGTGACGCTTGCACTGCCTCCTCTAGCTAGCTGCCCTCGAACTCGCTGCTCACTAACTGCTCCTCTAGCTCCTCAAACTGGTGAGTGAGATGGGGTCAGTCTACGCCCTTACGTTTTAATAATTCTAATACTTGATTACTTTACTTAAACACTTAACTTTGACTAGTGGAAGTTGTTTGTACTTCAAATCTTAACTCTTAAACTTTGAGGTAGTTGAAGTTACTCTCCTCTCTTAAAGCTCAAATCTTGACTTAAATACTCGACCGACACGGGGATCCCTCACTAGCTAGTCAGGTTGCCAACTCATACGTATGAGAAGCCATCCAGGCTTTCCTTAAACTTAAATTTAGTTAGGGGAGTCGTAACGATTCCCCCTAACATGTTAAACTTATCGTGGTGGCTCTTCACCACGATTCTCAAGAACATAACTGCTGCTCAACTTAAATATCTCAAGAGCATAACTGCTGCTCTGTCTCAAAGATCTCAAGAGCATAACTGCTGCTCTATTTCAAAATGTCTCAAAAGGCAACGGACTGGCGCTAGTGACTAAAACACTTAAAATGACTTCACCTTCTTTAAGGTGAGTTACTTCTTTAAAAGAACTTGCTTCTTAAACTTTACCATGACTCAAACATAACACTTTATGGTAAATAGCAAAAAGTCACTTCAAATCATAGCTCAAGCAAAGCACAAATAAGCAACCATAGACATAACCAAGCAACGATAACCAATTCGCTAAAATACTCAAAATCATAATACTTAAAAGAATACGTAATGCGTAGAATTTACCCCCTTTACACTCACCTTACTTTCGTCGGAACTAGCTTGATTTTGCTCCAAAGTTTCCATACTCGCTTCCACATATTACACTCGTACTTGGTTGAATAAAATTGGAGCAGCGACAAATGAAATTAAATGGACCGGATTTACTTTGGTCGTTATTGGCCGCCCTGAATCCGCCGGCCTTCAGGCTTGCTTCCCCTCGATTACAACATATCCACCGTTGCCACTCCTTCACTCAATTCCTTTTTTCCAGTCGCGGAAGCGGCTATGGTGGTTGGACGGGTAGTATGATTGGGTGTGTAAGAACTAATAGACCCAAACCAAGAACCCTTCTTCTCTCTTTCACTCGACCAAGAGAAACCCCAAACCAAGTTCTTGTGTTCATCCAACCCCTTCCCCCCCAATTGAATAACATGTGCCGACTCCAGAACCAAAGAAATCAGAGCAAAATCAAACGCTATCATCGCCCAATCCCAATCGATATAACAACTAATTCGACGATGAAGGACCAACGACATCGCAAAACCATGAAGGGATATTCCTCTGTACCATTGTCAATACATTATTTGCCTTTGAATCTTATGGGAGAATGGATCTGCTGCGCTGAAACTGGCGCTGGCTTTGAAGCAGATTAGGTTCGGCCATCTTTAGCCGCCGTCGATTCGATCTGGTAATCCTTAGTCTTCGTGTTTCCCTTAATCAGCACATCGTGGACTCGAAGTGGCATGCTCTGCGTCTGCAGCCGCCGGAAGAGGCCCTCCAGCTTTGCCCTCTACATTCGCACTGCCGATTGTGGAGTTCGCACCCGCGGTTCGGGTTCGGGTTCACCCTATTCTTCCTCATCGAGTTAGTCCTCTTCTGTGTCCTCTACTTCTTCTTCGTATCTGCCATCGCCATTCTCGTCGTCGGTGTCGTCTGCTTCGGTTTTAGGGTTTTCGGACGGCGGTTCCGGCTTCAACTCGTCGGGCTTCGCCATCGATGGGGGTGGAGTAAGAGAGAGGGGCTTTCGCAGGGGAGAGGAGACTGGAAATTACAGCGGGCGACTGGCCTTAGCTAAGCTAAGCACTTCTTTTTACTTTCGCCGGTGTGGCGTGGCCTTTTTGCCCCTTGCTGTTATGTTTGCAACTGCTACACTCCTCTTCTGAATAGGTTGGAATCCTGGCCGGATTGGGTTTTAATTAACTCGAGGGGTATTTTGGGAATTTCCCAATTACGGGTGAGTTTAATCCACAATTAAACTAACGTCCGTAACTTATTCGATTTATATCGAAACTCGACACCGTTTGAACCGAGAGTTCGCATTTTTAGTCCTCATCGATATTGCCATGGAATTTGACGAATTTCCTCCAAGGGCATAATAGTCATTTTGAATTTTGGCAAGACCGGGGTGTAACATTTCCTCAACCCTTATAAAAATTTCGTCCCCCGAAATTCGATCGGGCTCATCCTTTCATACTCCTCATTCTCGTGCTTCTTTGGCTCAAGATTTCACTCTTTCTATATGAACTTCAATGGCGTGCCCTTACCTTGTCTTGAATAGCTTACGATAGATCTTATATGTACTCTTGACCATAACATATATTCTCATCTAGCTTGGTAGCATCGAATAGGTTTGAGTGACTCATTGCCCTTTTCGAAATTTTCCAACTTGGGCCCAAGGTGTGATGGGACAAAATTTCGGCTCAATTTATTTGGTCCAACTGATTCAGTACTTGATGTTGAACCTATCGAAGTCGAGGTATCACATTTCCTCCCCACTTATAAAAATTTCACCCTCGAAATTTGTCCACTGTGATTACCCTAAGCATCGCTTGTGGTAATCCTTTTCGCTTCGTGGATTTTTATTTCCTTTAACTTATACAACATGACCTAAAATCCTTCTCTCCATTCCCTGCAACTTCAATGTTGTTGTGGCTTCTTAACCCCTCACATTACCTCGGTTGCACCTTGTACATATATAGGAACGATAACTATCCATTGTTCGATACATGAGAAGTTAATGCTTCTCTCGAACCCCAAGGTTATAGATGGCAACTTATCCTCTATTCAGTCAAATGGTAAAACTCCTTTAACATAACTCTCGTCCGGGGTTGATCTCATAGATTACCTAGGTCCTTGTATCTCCTAACTTTGCATCTCTTAATTTCTTCCTTAATGCCTCATCTTATCCACTAACCATAAACTGAATGGTCACCTTCTTGTCACTTGCTGCTTAGTGCTGGAACCTCATACTACTGCTTCTACTTTCTGTATGCATTAGAGGCATCCTTTGTATCTTTCTTTAGCTTGCGATTAACTTTATGACTTCTTTCCAGAATCATGACCTTCCATTTTGAGTACTTTTTTACTCATGGCGCCTAACTTAACACTTCCTTATCACCGTTTGACTTGGGAGTTCTCGTACGATCTCTTCTATTGTTCCTTGACCTTGCTTGAAATTCCTCGTACAGTTTCCCCATCCAAGAAATTTTCACCCGAGAGATCGCCACATTTCCCCCTCATAGGTGGTATTGCTTTCACTTTAGGGTATCCTAGCAGGTTCGCTAAACTCATATCCATCTTACTTCTTTACTCATGACTCCTCTTACCGATGTTTCTCGCTAGTTCTATATGTCCCTCGTCCTCGATGTAGTCATCTTGGTGCCCATATTTTCTTCTCACTTATGTACCTTGACCGAAAAGGTTTTTCCTTTGACCGTTCTGGACTGCCACACTTCTACTTTAAAGTTGACCATTGAGCTTCTCAGTTCTTGATGGGCTTCCTATGGTCCAACTTATTCTCCACTGGCAATCACATTGACGCCTCCTTGTTGACCTTCGTATTCTTTCGCCAGATCTTCTTAACTATCTTTCTCCCTAAATTTGTCATTTTATCAACTACCACCCTTTTCACCATAACCTTCATTATAGCCTTGTGGTTTCCTCCTTACTTCCACAACTCCTTCATCGATGCTTGGTACTAGCTTTGATCTACTCAGTTTAGTAGCTCCTCGCCATACCTCAGAGCCAACATTTCCACTAGAAACTTTCTCTAGGTAGACTTGACAGACGACACCCACGACTTCTACTCACGATGGTGCTTGACCACGTCCCAACTATCTTCCTTCACGCATTCATTGTCCGATCGACAACCACCTTTTTTATTTTATTTTATTTCCTATAGCGTTCTATGGTGTTCTCCTTGCTTCTTTACTTTTACTACCCTTCTGTTGATACTTTGTACTATTTTTGGTCACCAAACTCTGTTGAGTATCTTCTCGTTGTTGTCTTGGGTCAACGCTTCCAATAGTGGCTTGCCCTTGGTAGGTTTGAACATACCTCATCCACGTCTTTTGTCTCGACTGATGCTTGTACAGAGCCTTAATCTCTTAGTCATGGCTCTTAGTGGCTTAACTAAATATCACTAATTTATCCTTAACTGGCCTTCTTTTATGGATGACATCCTACTATGTCGTACTCGCTCAGAGTGGGGCACCTTGGGTAAGGTAACTTAATGATTTCCTCCTTCTTGGTAATGCTTTTCCTCGTACTCCATTATGCATTTTCTTGAACATGAGTCACCTACACATATTCTCAATCCTTCATCGGAACTTCCATGTGTTTCCTCGAATTCTCTGCCATTCACTAGAACATTTATTGAACATTCCACTTACTTGTCTATACTCGGTTGGATTAATGACTTACTCCTATAGCTAGTTTCGAGACTTCAACACTTAGCCCCCTATTTCCAACTTACTATAGAGGTTCCTCCTTCTGTCACCTCTCATGTACCCTAGATGGGTAGGTGCTCCCTCCTTTTAGGACAGGACAACCACACAAAAGATCATCACGAACTCTTGCATTCCCCTTTCAATGGTCCCAACAACTTCCTGACCTTTTGTGATCTGGGTAGTTTTTAGTGTCTCTAATATCCTCTTTCTAGCTCGGTACTAACTTAGTATTCAACTCACGCATTGCTGAGAAGTAGTTTTCTATTCGTACTCACTAACAATTATTCTCTCTCACATTCCATGTCTTTTCTTACACATTGGCTCACCACTGTCTTCTACCAGGCACACTTTAGACTTTGGTGGCAATTTCCTCCTTGTCTCGTCTAATGTTGGTCGTACTGAGACCATAACTTGTCCTCTCCATCATTCATCTCATTTATTGCCTTGTTCCTTCTAAAGGCTTGTCATCGAACTAACTCCCTAGGGTCATATACCCTCTTCTGTAGTGACGTGGTTTATGTATAAGGGTTCCTTTATCGTCATATGTAAATGACGATGCCTCCTCTCCGCCTTGACCTATTGACTTCTTGACGTCCTTTCATACTCCCTAAAACCGACTTATTTCCTCATTTGCTTCCTTTATACTACCATAGCATTTCCTTAAAGTCCAAACTTTCCTCTGCTCCTTGTCACTATGTTGTAATGGCGTTGAGCCATCGACCACAAAAACTAGCTGAGGGACTTCTCGGGGTACCTCTTTGTTTCTTGACCCGCCACTGCTTAGGGTCAAGGACCCTAAAATTCTCCCATCATTATGGCTACTAACATCTAGTGATTGTTCCTCTTCCTTTGGAGATTCATATTTCTCCCCTTTGTTTGTCTTAGCTTATTAGATCATCCACTTGTTTCCTAGTAGTAAAATCCTCGTACTACTCTCTTAACTCCTTCAAAATCCTTGAGGTATTCCCTTACAATTGGCACCTCTTTGCTGGTGTTTGGAGTGGAAGTCCTCGCACATTTGATTCTACCTCCACAAACCTTTGCAACGTTCCTCCTTCCTTCTCTAGGTTGATGATGATGATGATCTGTTTGCTAACGTCCGAGTAGTTGGTTAACTAATTGAAAACCTACTATCCATCATGTCGATGAGATACTTGGTCTTGAGAGCCTTTGAGATTCTACTTGGGTTGGTCACGTTTCTTTCATCCTTTCTTTCTTACTGGCGAGCACCATATGCCTAAATCTCTCATTTGATAAACCACGACATGTTAACTAAATCGTGTCCTAGCCTATTCTTAAACAATTGCACCCTGGCTACCATCCCTTCGTGCCGTGCCGTCATAGTTATTCACCTTAATATGATTAGAGTAGACTGGAGATTCTAGAAACTCTTAAAAGAAGATCATTGACTCGTTTTCCTTTCCTTTAAAACAAAAACCTTTAAAACTGAGACCGATATTCCAGTATTCCTTGGAGACCAAAGAACAGAGTAAGACAGGCTCTGATACCAAAATGACACACCCTAACCCGGCGGGGTACTACTTTTACTAAAATGCCCTTGATAAATAAAATACTCAAATCTCAAATTGCAGCAGGAAAAATTTAAATAAATAAAATACTGAAAACACACACTTGTAGTTCAAAGCAAAGCCCTAACACGTGGGCAAATTAAGTTCAAACTTTAAAATCTCAATCTAATATCCAGTCTATACTCACAATCATAAAATGTAATTAACTAGGTAGTCTCTGTCGTTGCTGCTACTGAAAATTTTAACTAGGCATTCTCCGTGACGCTTGCACTGCCTCCTCTAGCTGGCTGCCCTCGAACTCGCTGCTCACTAACTGCTCCTCTAGCTCCTCAAACTGGTGAGTGAGATGAGTTCAGTCTACGCCCTTACGTTTTAATAATTCTAATACTTGAGAACTTTACTTAAACATTTAACTTTGACTAGTGGAAGTTGTTTGTACTTCAAATCTTAAAATCTTAACTCTTAAACTTTGAGGGAGTTCAAGTTACTCCCCTCTCTTAAAGCTCAAATCTTGACTTAAATACTCGACTGACAGGGGGATCCCTCACTAGCTAGTCCGGTTGCCAACTCATACGTATGAGAAGCCTTCCAGGCTTTCCTTAAACTTAAACTTAGTTAGGGGAGTCGTAACGATTCATCCCCCTAACATCTTAAACTTATCGTGGTGGCTCTTCACTATGATTCTCAAGAGCATAACTGCTGCTCAACTTAAATATCTCAAGAGCATAACTGCTGCT